AAATCGTCCGGCCTGATAACGCGTGTTTTTGTGTTTCGTCATGAGTTCACCCGCGGAGTTGAAGCAAGAGCAACGAAACGCAATTCGATGTTGCGTTCGTCGAGAATTATCTGCTTCTGAAACACTTCTGAGCCACTATCATTTCATTCACAGTTTCAGAAGCAGATAATTCACGACGAACGCAATATCGAATTGCGTATCGTTGCTCTTGCTTCAACTCCGCGGGTGAACTCATGACGAAACGCAAAAACACGCGTTATCAGGCCGGACGATTTCACTAAACTGACTTTGCAAACAGAAAGAAACTTCTCGACTGTGATGGAAACACTTGCTGACCAGTTCAAACTTGCATCCACACAGATAGAAACTTAATTTATAACGTCTGAACCAATTGCACAGCCTGCGGAGGCAAAGTTAACGGAATGAAAAATTACCGAAGAATCCGGTAGGCGTATTTTTTACACGTCTTGGGAAAATTGAAGTAACCCGTTGAGTTTTTAACCAAATTAGCTCAACTTAGGCTCCTTTAAGAGCTAAGAGTATGAGCTATCACCTCCAGCAAACCGCATGTCGATATCTATTGAAGTTCCCGAACGGCAGCCTTACTGTCAGTTGTTTTGGGACAGCCTATGTATCAGTAGGGTACTATTACAAAGAAATACATTTTTAAGAAGGGTGAAACATTTTCCTGTTATTCTGATTCTGACACGGCAGGAGATTTATCAGATGCCAAATTTATTACTGGGTATGTAATTGTTGCTGGTGGTGGTCCTATAATGTGGAAAAGCCGAAAACAAACATGTGTAACAAATTTCAGCACCCATGCAGAGTATATTGTCCTCTATGAATGTTGTTAAGAGCTAATCTGACTGAAATCATATTGTATGAATTAAAGCAGTCTTTACTTTCCAATCACTGTTCATTGTGACAATCAGAGTGCAAGTGCCATTGCTAATGAAGACACAGTTAAAGAACGTATCAAGCATTTTGTTGTCAAATATCATTTCGGCAGAGAGTTGGTAAGTGTAGGAGAGGTAAAAACGATGTAAGTACCTCCAGACAAAAATTGTGCAGACCTGCGGGCCGATTATTGAAATTGATTGACATAGCTATAGACAGAGAAGAAAAAAGAGATTTGGAGCGATCCTATCGGTGGAAGCGGGTGGTTGCAATGAACAAAGGAGGTAGGCAATAGACTAACCAACGGCAACCCACGAGGGTCCCGATAGTTAGTCCATCATTTTCTCCCTTAGTCTATAGGACTCACCCATTTTAACCAATAGGACAGCTCCAAACTCCCTATGTCTTTTTTGTCTATCGCTTTGTCTATCAATCTCAATAATCAGCTCGCAGTTCACGAAGTCTTTTCCAAGCATTGTAAATACTTGATGTTTCTTGCAAGTCCAAACTTAACCTTTAATAATTTTTTTTTTGCTGCATAATAAAGCATGGTAATTTTTTTTTGGCTATCTATTTGTACATTAATTTCCAGCTTTTAGACTCCTAATAAATATATCAACTCGCTGTCCACTGAGAATTAACTAACTTAGAATAAGACTCCAAAGTAACTACAGCTCAGTTATTTATCACAAAAAGTCTAATGCTTAAATGACAATTAATTTTTAATCGAGCTTATTAACAATTTAGAAATCAAGGGAGATAATGAAAAACAAATACATTATTTTCCCTCCTAACCATTAGCACAGTATTTTGGGTAATTTAATGGTTGCAAACTGATTTATATTTTAATACTTTAGAATAGTTTAATTGAAGACCAAAATTGTTCGACTTCTCTGTGGTCTGGTTTAAATTCTATTTTTTTTTTTTTTTTTTTTTTTTTTTAGAATTCTACTTATTTTTTCTTTTTAGGGCAGAGCATAAGTTCTTTCATTTCTGTTGGTAAAAGTAAATTCATTTCAACCTTACACTTCAGATTTAGAAGTGTCATACAGGGTATTTCAGACCACCCGTACCAGGCCTTTTTCTCGGTTGTTTTAGGTCGCACGAAGTCGGGGACCCTGGAGTTGAATAGGGAGTTGACCCCAAGGAATCCGAATTTCGTGGTCCCGAAATCCCCCCCCCCCCCTTGGGGAGTAAAGGGGGGGGGGTCACGATGCTAAAAGTCACGGTTTCCGACCGAATTGCGGATTAATCGCATCAGAATTGAAAAGCACGGAAAATTTCACGTGAAATTGACCCCTAAAAATCCATAATCGGCCCATCCAAGGCCCAAAAATGAACCCCTAAAGAGGGGGACAGTACCCCCTTTCATAATTTCACTTTGGTCTCAAAATTGACGTAGATTCTCCAGATAAAGATGGTTTACCAGGTAATCGACCCAGAGAAATCCAAATTTCATGGTCCCGAAGCTCCTCTAGCCCCCCTTGGGAGGTAAAGGGGGGGCCCAATTTTAAAAATCGGGACTCCTTTCCGAATCGCAAATTGATTGCATCCAAATTGAGGAGCAGAACACATTTACATCTTAAGTGACCCCCAAGAGTTTTAATTGACCCCCTGAACGGCAGAAAGTAACCCCTGAGGAGGGGGGCTTCGCCCCCTCCAAAAATTTTTCAAGATTCCTCTTTGGTCGCAAAATTGACGTCGATTCTCCAGAAAAAGACGGTTTTCCAGGTAATCGACCCTGAGTACTCTAAATTTCATGGTTCCTAAGCTCTGCTACCCGCTCTTTTGGGCAGAAACCGTCTTTTTCTGGGGAATCGACGTCAATTTTGCGACCAAAAAGGAATTTTGAGAAGTTTTTGGAGAGGGCGAAGCCCCCCTCCTCAGGGGTTACTTTCTGCCGTTCAGGGGGGTCAATTAAAACTCTTGGGGGTCACTTAAGATGTAAATGTGTTCTGCTCCTCAATTTGGATGCAATCAATTTGCGATTCGGAAAGGAGTCCCGATTTTTAAAATTGGGCCCCCCCTTTACCCCCCAAAGGGCGCTAGAGGAGCTTCGGGACCATTAAATTTGGATTTCTCTGGGTCGATTACCTGGTAAACCATCTTTTTCTGGAGAATCTACGTCAATTTTGAGACCAAAGCGAAATTATGAAAGGGGGTACTGTCCCCCTCTTTAGGGGTTCATTTTTGGGCCTTGGATGGGCCGATTATGGATTTTTAGGGGTCAATTTCACGTGAAATTTTTCGTGCTTTTCAATTCTGATGCGATTAATCCGCAATTCGGTCGGAAACCGTGACTTTTAGCATCGTGACCCCCCCCCCCTTTACTCCCCAAGGGGGGGGGGGGGGATTTCGGGACCACGAAATTCGGATTCCTTGGGGTCAATTCCCTATTCAACCCCGCGGTCCCCGACTTCGTGCGACTTAAAACAACCGAGAAAAAGGCCTAGTACGGGTGGTCTGAAACACCCTGTATATTGTACAGCGTTTAAACGTCAAGCAATGTGTTGTGTCATATTTTTTTTTGTACTGTAGCACTCCACAAATTTTTCTTAGTTCTTCGCAAAATAAATGTGGAGCGAGGAGAGGTATTAGTTTAAAATATTCATGTACCTCTTACAGTCCTATTTCTATCATGTTGGTACAATATGCTTCTAACGCAGTTGGTACACCTGGTGACCATTTTATTTAGGTTAGATGATGACTAGCTTTTTTGCATTTTCATTGATGCGCCGCTTCTTGCGGTCCTTTCCTTTTCATATTCTCTATTTACCTATGATAATGGAAGAATAATAGTTTTCTTCAGCTCAAGCCGGTTGTGCTTTTTTTGTTTCACTATCTCAGCACTCTCTTTGCAGCACAATAGAGGGTGTTCAGCGAGTGGTCCGGTCATCGCGGCCGAGACTGATGTGTTTCCATTTACGGATTTTAATGCCGAATAAAAAGTCTCTGGTTTTGTGAAATGGACTATACATTTCAGCCTCCAATATATTCNGGGGGGGGGGGGGGAGGACTCAGTGTTGAAAAAACTGATCAGAAACTTTACCTCAGAACTTTTCGACAAATCAAGTTAACAATGTGGGATTAGCCCAAGCGACTACCTAAGTAATTAACGTTTCAAGAGAGGGTATGTGTTGTACGCTGAAATGTACTGTAAAATTCGACTTATTGTTAGTCACATTAGAGACAACATTTTTCCTCATGTTCGTGGAAATGTTGATAAGATTCCTTTTTTTACTTTCATCAAAAACCGGATATGTTGCTCTTTATAATATGCTGATCATAGAATCTTAACCAAAAACTGAGGAAATGATTTGTACACAAGTTATGGTTGCAAACCGAACAAAAAACACAGCTTTCTAGACTATTCCAAGCTGTGCGCCACGTGCCTCCACTCAGTTCGAAACTCGGCTGTTGCCTTGTCTTGCCTAGCCTCAGTGGGCACCAGAAGGGATAGCTGCAAGGCCAGCAAGACGAGACAACAGTCAAGTTTCGAACTGAGTAGGGCCAAGTAGCAAGCAGCTTGAGATAGTCCGAGAAGCGGTGTTTTTTGTTTCTTTTCACGGACAATTTCCCCAAGTTTTGATAAAGAACTCATGATCAGCATCGTACAAAGAACAACAAATCCATTTTTGGTAAAAATGAAAAAAGGCATATTTTCAAAATTTCTACGAATGTAGGAAAAAATGTGGTCTCATTGCTTCTCGGACGTAAGGCCGTATCTCTATTTCCACATGGGCCTCGGAAAGCAGAGAGTTGTACGGAGAACAGGGCTCACGTTAAAATCGTGATACGCCCTTACGTCAAAGGAGCGACGAAATCTGACCAAGTCGAATTGTTTTAATTTTCAGTAAAGATTAGCATGCAACATGTATACTTGCTTGGAAGATTAATTAAGTTGAACATTGCCTGTGTGAACTGAATATTGATATCTTGATTTACCAATACACGAGGAGGCAAAACTCTGAACCCCCTCCCCCCTTACCAGATTTAATTAAGGACTACAATTTTGGGGAAACATACTCATTAATATCCTCTAATATTGTGCCAAAAATCAGATAAATGCAGATGGGGAGAAAAATATTGCTGCTCCAGCATCAACTTTTTTATGATGCAGCAGGGCAAAGTGTGGCGTAAGGTGGAAACTCAAGTTTTTTAGTGCAGCACAAAAACTCGATTTGAGGTATAAATCAAGATCCTAGGATACTGTTTCATAAAACGAATTGTCCCAAGGACTGGCAACAGCGTCAGCAATTTTTTTCAGCGGTTCTCTTGCATTCCCTGTTTTTGGTCTTTGAACTCTTACCAAAAAAGTGCTGTCAAAAGTTGAGTTTTTGGGGGTTTTTTTTGCACCTTAGTATGTAAAATCAACTCCTCCACATGTGGTGACGTTATCTCATGTGATTTCTCCTCATCTTGAGACACATTTTGCTCTGCTGCGTTACATTTAATTAGATGAAGGATATTTACATAACAATCATCAAAAAATAAATAAATGAATCATCTAAAAGTAAACAAAATTCTTTGCTCCGAATTACTAATGAACAAACGGTAAAGATTTAGAATCAGTCAAACTTATTGCTAAAACATAGAGAAGGCCAAAAAATAAATTAAGGTTTGCGGTGGAACGAGGTACACTTTGAATAGTTTCTGGATTGCGAAACCGTTTCTCGATCTGAAAAGCTCTTGGCGCTGTAACCAGTGGCAACAAGAACCAATACAACTTTCTGGTGGCTAGGACAACGAAAATTATGTAAGGAGTAAATAGTAAAAATGCATACAATATATGAGACAATGTATGACCTAAAACAATAGCTAATGTAACAATTTTAGCTCTCCTGTCTGATTCCAAATCTCTAGTATTGTTACTGTGTAGGATAGCTTCTGTATTTAAGGCTAGAGGTAGGGCATAATAAATGCCACCCCATTCTAATTTACCCGTTTGACACATGTAGGCAAACAGCACAGAAACAGGACCGAATATGATTAAAATAAGTACATCTCCTAAGGCAATGTATTTCAGCCCAATGCCGCCAGTATACAAAAATGAGCCTGACAGGCCACCAAAATAAACTAGAGCCAGGTGTTCGAATTTAGCAGGAGACAATGATGAAAGACATACACAACCAATGAAACCTACTGCATAGACAAGTCCTCCGAAGCTTACAACTTCATCTTTGGACAACAAGTGATCAACTAAAGTTCGGTCATCACTTTTACGATTATCAATGCCTTTAACATAATCAAAATAGGTATTTACCAAATTACCAGCACAGTGGACTGATATGACTGTTAAAAGAGTTAGAGATAAAATTAATAGGCTATGCTCATTTTGAGGGTTTAGTTTGTGTGCTAAAGTATAGCCTAAGAGAGTTGGCATCAAGGATGCACTCAAAGACCATGGCCGGATGGCCAGTAAATATGAAGATAGTTTCATGTACTTCCCTTTTTCTTGGCATGAGAAGGAGGAGGATATTTTGACTGCTTCATTCTTGCTGAAATTGCTGTCTGCTTCCATGTTAAAAAAAAGTTGAACAACCTGCAAAACAGGGGAAAGTAAATTCGATAACTTCAAAAATTTGAGTGGCATTGAGTTGAAACAAGGCCAAAGCCATGCTTTTCTGTAAAAACTTTTTTTTTGAAAAAAAAAAAAGGGGGTAGACAAATTGGGCATACCGAGTTTTTCCGGCAATCAGACACAATAAATAATTTGGAACACTAATAAATTAGCCTGAAACATGTGAACCTACTCTCCAAATGGCGGAAGAGCTAAAATTTCAAAGACTGAGTTCAAACTGATTTTTACTTTTTTTGCCTTCACCAAGTTGCATCTTTCAACAGAACGACGTTAGAGAATATCAAATTTTAAGGCCTAAAAGAAATAATTAATTTACAGGTTTTATTAGCCAGTTAGCCTCCTGAGGTGTACTGGGTCGGCCTCCAATGGTGTAATGGTGTAATGGTTGTAACACTTGCTCTATGATCGGGAGGTCCCGGGTTCGATTCCCGGCCAGGTGACCCGAGTTTGATGCTCTCAAATAACGGTTAAATGGGGTTGGCTTGGTAAGGGATTGAGGGGGGTGGGATTTTAGGGACTGCAAGCGTGAGATTATCCCCTCAAGGCTATTTGAAGTGAGAAAAAAGAAGAAAAAAGTTGCGGTTAAAAAATTCAGTTTTTCTGTAAATAATCGCTTTTGTGGTGCTAATTGCTGATGTCCTTTGGAAAATGCTGGGTCCTCAAAAACATAATAATACTGTTGTTCGCCACAACTTCAAGCAACCTTCCCAATACAGACTGATGAATGATTTTCGTCGACAATATTACAACAATGTGAGGTATTCAGCTACTAGTGACAGCAAATATAAATGTTTAGGATGGGTATATCAGCATCATACGCGGGTAGTGTGTATTAGAATGTTAATGACACATCTATGGTGAAACAACAAAAACATTTGAGGTTTTCCTGAATCTTTGCTCTTCCTCCATGTTTCCTAGAGAATATCACGCTTACATGAATTGTTCTATATGTAATGCACCTGGTTCAGAAATACTTCCGACAGACAGTTGCAGCGCTCCAAAAGAGACTTATAAGAAGAAACGGGAAACTTTCGAATTTTTCGACTGTATCGGCCTGATGACTATCAATTACTTTAGATGCTTAGCTAAGGCATTGATGCGATAGTAGGGATTGGTGCGATCGCTTCGCTTGTGATTTTATAAAAAGAACCCTCAATCGATGGCACTTTGGAGACCACGGTTTGTTTGAACCAAAGTGAATGAAAAAAACCCGTTACATCTGATTTTACTTCAGAACCTTAAAGTAGGATAGAAACACGTTAATTTAAGCTCTAAAGGAAAAAATTCGGGCGAACTCCTGGAAAATGAAATCGATTAGAAGGTTTTTGGCCCTGAATTGGCTGAAAATTGCTAATTTTGGAGCAGATATCCCATTAGCATAATGAGGCAATATGGTTCTTGATGTTTCAAAGTCGAGGGAGTGTGCGAAGAAATTTTAAAGCCCCCCTTCCCAAATAAACACTCCAACCCCCCCCCGCCCCCCCACTGCGAAAAAGACCCTGCAAATGCGCTCGAGAAATGAGCATGATAAAATCTAGGAGCATGCCTCCGGAAAATAGTAGGGAAAAAAATAGGATAGGATCCTCCTTTTGACGTATAAACAGTAAGTGCGTTCAAGCGAAATAATTCGACCCGAAGATTGTTACGAGTAGCTGTTTACACTTACGAGTTCAACGCGCGCGTTGGGGTGTCCCTTATTTTTCAAAATTGAGAAATTTTCATGGGCAGTTTTTTCAAAACGTGATGCAACCCAAAAAAATAAGAAATCGTTTTGAAAAAAAATTTTTAGGGGTCTCTCAAGCACCCCAAAGCGCGCAAGTGTAAAAATGGGTAAATGAGCTAGAGTACAGTCATGACTTGGGAGAAATCCTCGAATTGCGGCCCTTTGGGCCGACAATTTCGTCCGTTTAACCGTATCTTTGATGGTTTAGCCGCTACAGGTACGTGCGCGCCGCGACGTACTCGCAGGCGCAAAAGCTCACGGTGGTGCGCGGCGGGTCAGCTAACCCTCCCCCCCCTCTGCCGCGCCGCGAACGATAAGCTTAGGCTTAGCGATCTCAATATAAGTCGTTAGACCAATTTTTTTTTGACTTCAAATAGCCCTCAAGGGCTAATCCCATTCAATCCCTTCCCTCCTTCACTTTCCATTCTATCCATTAATGATGTGATACTACCAGTGCTCCCCCGTTCCTTATCTCCCTTCCCTTGCCTCACAATCAGTTTATCCACCTTTTCCACTAGGTCGTCAACTACCATCCCTGTCTCGTTTTCCGTACCTTTAACCTCCATGTTCATCTAAATCCCAATCCCGATCAAAAATCAAATCCCAATTACTATCCGTCCCTACCTAATTTTAACTTATCTTCCATATTCTAACCCTTTAATTGGACTTATTCGTACGAGAGGGAACCAAGCGCCAAATTTCCGATTTTCAGTTTTTAACGGATCTGGATCTTCCATAACATAGGGTACACTGACATGTAAATATGCTCCCAAAAAACTAATTTCATTCCCTGGGTGCAGCGCCTGAAAAATCGTGTAACAGGGAATCTGGGATAACTAATGTAAGCAAAAGGAACTATGTTTACGCCCGTGTGAGGGGAGCGGAGGGGCTAGAGTCTGCCCGAGAGCGCTCTCAAAAGAGGAGAGCTGGTGGGGACGATTAGCGATCGCGAATGATCGCAACGTCCATAGCGATGGCCCTTTGAGGATGGAAAAGAGGAGGGAAGAGGAAGGTCCCACCGAGATGCTCAGAAGGGCTACCAGCCAAGATACTCAGCCGCGATGAGAGGGAAGGAAGAGGGAGAGAGCTCAGCTGAGATGAGGGAGAAAGAGAGAGCTCAGCCGAGATGCTCAGCCGAGATGAAGAGAGAGAATGAGAGGAATCTCAGCCGAGATGCTCAGCCGAGAGAAGAAAAGAGAGGAAGAGGGAAAATCCCACCGAGATACTCAGCCGCGTTGAGAAGAAAAAGAGAAGAGAGAGAAATCTTCCCAACCGAGAAACTCAGTCGGGTCTAAAGAGAAAGAGAGAGAGAGAGGTCCCAGCTGAGATGCTCAGCCGGGTAAAAGAGAGAGAGAAGGTAAAAAGAAAGATTCTATGTATTACCGTGCAGCGTGGAGAGAAGACCAGGATCGAAAGCAGAGAGCCTTGATCAGGAGCGCAAGCAGAGGACTTGACTGATCGAAAAGCGATGATCGAGTGATGACCGCATGCCTGGCGGCTGCCTTTTTAGAGACGACACGCGTGGACGCGTCGGACGCGGCCGGGAGCCGCGACGCGGGTCGGACGGACTTACGACCGGTTGGACCGGTCGCCGAGTCGCGGCGGCATGGCTGCCAGGTTGCGCAGGTTGCGTAACATAGCCGCCGGCTAGTTACGTTAATGCCGGAAATTCGTTGCGGCGTTAACATTTTCCCCCGCCTTGAACCGATGGGTTCAAAGAAGAGCTGACGTTGGTAGTTTGGTAATAATTGAGAGACTAGGTTGTCTGAACTTGGTTAGTTAAGGATTTAATAGAGATTGAAAACTTTGGAACTAAATAGAATTTGACGAGTAGAGATAAAAATGAAACAATAAAACAAGGACACATTAGAGGGATTTCTTGTGGTGGTGCTCGATCGCCCGTTTAAGGGACCTCTGAGCCGCCTTCTTTGCCTTCTTCGACAGCCACCCGGAGCGGATGGTGGTACCGCTGGTCGAGCCTTGAAGCGAGGGGTCTGAAGCCGCGACAGATGTATGTTGGTCTGGTTCCGCGACCGGTGCGGGTGGGGCTGGCACTGTGATGGGTGTGGGTCGCGTTGGAGTCGTTGCCGCGGGCCGCGGGGGCGCGGACATCGGCGCGAGGTAGAGTAAGCCTAGTGAGATGAGGAATGAACCCAGCCTCCTCAGAAGGGCTACCAGCCGAGTTGCTGGTTGTTGGAGTTGTTGGGTTGTTGGACTTGGAGTTGGAGTTTGATCCCTTGTAGATAGGCAAGATAGCAGCACCTTGGGGTTGGGGCCGACGGTTGGCGTTGGGCCCATGAGGACGTACCCGAGGGTAGGGTGGTCCAAGCTAACATGGGAAATTTTTTTTTGGCCCAATGAACCGCGACTCCCCCTAAATTTGTTCCTTACCATCCAAATATGATACCTGCCAAATATTTTCGTTCTCCGACAATATTAACACGTGCCGACTTGAGGCTGAAAATCTCCCAAAAAATTATATTGATTTAAATGGGGCGAAAATGGGCCGATCCGCGGTATTTCGTTTTTCGGCTGTAAAATGCGCCAAAATGCAAATAACTTGCTCTTAACTTACGAAGATACCTAGAGGCCTAATGTGATTGAGAAAATCACACATTCGACCCATTGGGGGGGGGGGAGGGGGTCGCAGCGGAGCCGATTCCTAGGCCCCGCGGCCCTGCGCGAGGCTCTATGCGCCAAACTGATAAGAGAGGAACGCGCTCGCATTTTCGGGCTCCCTGCTCCCTGATACGCACTGCTGTACTGCAAATTAAATGATGTTATTTCTAGAGTTTGAAAAGTAAATCAAGTGACCTGCTGATAAGCACATTGCAACAATGGTTTGCTGGTAAAACTGCTCAGTTTTGCAGAAAATCTCATGTTTTCTGGGAGCGGAGTGCATTTGGCAGTCAGAGTCTGTCCGCCGATCGATCATCGATGCTTTCATGATATGTTTGTGAAACTATGGCTCTTTCAAAGCCAACTTTGCGAAAAGAACGAAACGTGTATCTACTCGGCAATTATTCCCCCGTAATTGAAGGGAGTAAACTCCCGTCAAAGAAACAAGTTGTACACGTATTGTTCTTCAATTTACGAGAAGTCCAGTTAAGATTACGCGACAGTGCACACACCGCGACAGTGGACCCAGTGGTGGTCCAGGAAGTTATCATTTTCTGGAACAAAGCGAGAATTCCAGTGCATTACAAATCTCGTTGTGTTAAAAAAGTGGAGGATCTTT